GGAGACCCTGTGACAAAAAACAAACTCGAAAATTTTAACAGGTGTATCCTAAAAGTACTGAGTTCTAAGACGAACAGTAGGAAAAAGCAATGAAAAAGATCTCAAAGTAGATTTTAAACTCACCACACGTTTGTATTATGTATTTTTCTGATGCAAGAAGTAGCAAAATTTGAAATCTTTTTTAACTCCATTAGCTACTAATACTGAGAAAAGCACCCAGGAAAGAAAACACAATCTCAAGATGCTTCTATGAGAAACTACACAGACAGGATAGTTTCACTTGCATTTAATTATCACTATTGCTTTGGAAAAACTAGAAGCTCATATAGCAGATAAAAGGAAACTGAGGCATGAGGAGATCATGACTTGCTCAAAGCCCAACAGCTAGGAAACAATGAAGCCCCAACTCAAATTGCAATGCCAGTAAGTTAGACACCAGTCTGCATTGAGGATCAGGCAGAACACGCACTTCAGAGTCTGGGCACAACTACTAATGACAAAGGATTTTATTATTTGCATTCACACACACAAAATAAAAAAACCTACCAATCAAGAATTAGACAGAGGCAAGCCGGGCGGTGGTGGCGCACGCCTTTAATCCCAGCACTCGGGAGGCAGAGCCAGGCAGATCTCTGTGAGTTCGAGGCCAGCCTGGGCTACCAAGTGAGTTCCAGGAGAGGCGCAAAGCTACACAGAGAAACCCTGTCTCGAAAAACCAAAAAAAAAAAAAAAAAAAAAAAGAATTAGACAGAGGCAAGCAATGGAATATTGGGACAGGCACAGCACCAGGCAGCTCTGGCTCCACACCTGAAGTGGCACCACTTATAAATAAATCTCAAATGTCTTTCGTGCAGCTAAGTCTCAAAGACCAGCAAAGAACTCCAGAGAGGAAGCAGTGACAACACTGGGTGCCTGGAGCAGAGACAGGGAAACTCCCTGTAGACTTAGGGGGCTGAAAAGGGCTGAAGCAGAGAAAAACAGAGAGGCTGGGTCAGAGACAATTACCCACAGGCAGGGTGACAAGTTGGCAGAATTTTCTTCCAGCAAGGCAAGAGCCTTCCACAAAATGACGCTGGCCAGTTGAGAAAATGGAATTTCATTTGCTCAAAATGCTATACTACAGTTGTCTTATGTACAAAGCTCCACCAGGCAACCCTTCGGTGCCAGGTCTCAGGTCCCGTTTCCAACACCAGCAGGGACACTCTGGAACTACAACTAATCTACCACAGCCTCAAAGACCAGCTAAATCAGCTCCACTTGCAGCACAGTGCAACTGGCTTTGCAGTCAGAGCTCTAAATAAACGCAGGATCTTAGCTTTAACATCCAGTTTTCTCTTCCTTGAATGAAGGTCACATCTATACCACTCAGGTCTCATGAGGTCTTACAGTAAGACTGGGCAGCCACTTTGCCCACCATTCTATAACTCCAACACCAGGTCTACCTGAGCAAAGATCACCTGTCTTCACAGTAACAAATATGGCTAATTAAGCATTTATTGTAATTCAAGCCACATACTATATGTACGCACTGCTCCATTTAATCTCAGCTCCAGCTTTCGACTAAGTAATGCCTGGAATTTTTTTCTTTTTCAAAGGAAAAATAAAAACTTTATGAGTCTCAGTTTTTTGCCTGATCAACAAGAAATTATTTTGTCCTCAGAAGCCTGTTACAAATGATTCACTTAAGAACTCTCCCAGCACTCGGGAGGCAAAGGCAGGTGGATCTCTGTCAGCCTGATCTACTCAGAGTTCAAAGACAGCCAGGACTGTCTTCCCCCTGCCTTGGGGGGAAAAAAAATTAGTTTGTGATTAACAAATTGCCATGCCTTGACACATGGTAAGCCCTGAGTTTAATTACAACTATAATCAATGTATACCACAGTTACTAATCTCAAAAACCCAGTAACTATACAGTGATAGTCAGCATACAGGAGACAGATAAAAAGATATTAGAAGCCGGGCGGTGGTGGCGCACGCCTTTAATCCCAGCACTCGGGAGGCAGAGCCAGGCGGATCTCGGTGAGTTCAAGGCCAGCCTGGACTACCAAGTGAGTTCCAGGAAAGGCGCAAAGCTACACAGAGAAACCCTGTCTCGAAAAACCAAAAAAAAACAAAAAACAAAAAAAAAAAAGATATTAGAGCATCATATCTACAAACAGCAAATGCAGGTATCTGAACTCAGGTACATTCAATTCCTACGCAGTAGACTACTCAAAGAAAACACACCAATGGCACTCAGAAAAATTACTTTTTCCACGTACACTGTTTCAGGTACTCTCCTCTCAATTCTAGCTTCAATTCAAAGAATTCTGAATGTCTCATCCAGTCCTGCAAACTCCAACCAGGAACAAAAGGCAGCTTAAGCACCAATCCTCAAGACACTTAAGCCCTTCTTCAGTCTCAAACCAAAATAGAGAAGGTTGTAGGCATATCTTACAAGAACCCTTTCCTCTGAATCCCTAAACTCATCAGCACCGACACAACCTGTCTTTCTGATCCAAATTCATAGTACAAGATCCTACCTTGGAGTACCTGCACCCACTAATTCATTAATGTCAATTAGGCCAGCTCCCTCTTTCTCATTTTGTTGACTATTTTACCTCCACGGTGAGATTGCGTCTAAGTACCCGAGTTTGAAATGATACAGGACCTGGGTTTTGCCTAAAATCTGGGATATGGAAGACACTCTCAGAAACTGTCAGCCGCCAAAAACGCCAAGGCATACATGATTTGTGTATGATGGACACAAAGAATGCAGTGGCTTCCCCGGCTTTGGCGGGCAAACAGGTGTCGGACACATTTATATATAAGGCGCCGTGTGGCGGCTGGGACAGAAATATTCTGGCGGGAAAGCTCCAGAGAAATCGAAAAAATATATAACAGGCTCGAAATCTGCCAAGTACCGGGAGATTGCAGCGCCAGTCCACGTGAAGGAAGGGGGGGGAAGGGAATGCCTCACCACCGCCATTTTGGAAACAAAGGGGGCGTGGAGAAAGGAAAAGTACGCCCGACCGGAAGCGGAAGTGCCAAGGCAGCAAAAGAAAAAGACCGGATTAAGAGACCTAGATTCATCTTTCTCAAATAAAAGAGAAAAACATAAAAACCAAAAAACCCTCACGTAGAAGAATGCAGCGTGCTCTCAACGCGCCAACGCGACGCAACGCGCCGCCTCCGCCGGGACCACGTGGGCGCGGGATAGTCGTGCGCGCACGCGCCCTGAGCCTTGCCCGCGGCCCCTTCCCTCTGCTGGGAGAAGGGGAGGTCACGTGGACGAGGCGCGCGGGCACGGATGGGGGGGGGGTTAAATCATGCGGCCCCAGGGAGGGGAACAAGAGGGAGAAATGGCGGAGGGGCACGGAGCGAAGCAAGAAGCCACCCCACAGCCCCGGCGCCCTCACCTTGTTTATTCTCGTTGAGCTGCCGCTCGAACTCGTCGAAGTCCGACATGCTTAGGCGGCCGCGTAGGGCCCTGTGCAGCTCTCGCCTCGCCTTGCCGCCCGCCCGCTCCGGCTACTTCCGCCGCTGGCTCCGGCTACTTCCGGCCCCCGCCGGCACTCCGTCGCCTACCTAATCAAGCCCCCAAGCCCCGCCCCGCCCCGACTCCACCCCCTCGCCCCGCCCGCCCCACCCCCCCTCGAACCGCCCCGAGCCCGGCTCCGAAGCCAGTCGGCTGTCCTCGGCCCTAGACCGAGGAGTCTGCAGGCGGCGGCGGCGGCGGCGGCTGCCCTCGAAATCACCCAATGCGAGAATTTTGCAGGCTGCCCAAGTTTCGGTAACTTTTCGGAGACTAGTGTCTCAACGTTCGGAGGATTCCGTGGGTCCTCGCGTTCCCTACGCCAGCCCCTTCTAAAGGCTCGGGTTTTTCCTACAGCTCAAACCGTCTCAGTCTCTGGCTTCCCCTGAAGATTCGCCCCACCCCTCACTGGCCCTGTCCAAGCAGTCGGTCTCTTCCAACAATCCTAACCGTCCAGACCTTCGGCTCTTTCCGAAGGTTTCCAGCGCTCGCTCACGGCCCCTCAAGAGATTAAGCCCGATTCTAATCTTCGGCTCTTTCCGGAGGTTCCACGGGGGTCACTCCGCCCCTTCCGGAGACTTTCGTTCCCTTCCGCCACCGCTTCGGGAAGGCCTCAAAGCACGGGGGAGAGCTTCGGCTTTTTCCGCCGTTGCTTCGGCTCCTTTCGGCTCCCAGAACCCAAGAGGGAGGGAGTACAGATAGAGGTGGGTCAGGGAGCTACAGAAGAGGGGGCGGGGTCTCACTCTCGGCGCCTGGCTCTCTCGGTGAGGAGGACGGAAGAAAGGCCGACCTCGCGGAAGGCCAGAGAAGGTGTGCGGGACAATAGCAGCCAGTCGGGGCAAAGGGTGCTCGAAGCCTCTGCGGAGGTTTTTTTTTTTTTTTTTTAGCGCGGCTTGGGGCGCCTGCGCAAGACGATTAAGGAGGCGGCGAGGGGAGTTTCTGCGCCTGCGTAGCGGTCAGTCTGAGGCTCGTTTTCTCAGCGCCCGGGAGGATCCGCCGGTCTGAATCCACATTGCGCATGCGCGGGCCTCCCCCCACAGCACCCCCTCCTGTAGGTACTAACTCCGGGACCGTTAAACTAGACTGCGCTCTCCCGGTTGCCTTGGCGATCGCGTTAACTTTCCCACCCCCGCTCCTACCTACCGCGCAAGCGCAGGACGTGCCCCCTCCGGGACTGCAGTCTCCCGGCCCCTGGCGGGCGGGCGGGCGGGCGGAAAGGAGTCCAGGCGGCGCCCCCTGGCACCTCCCCTAGGCAGGCTCAGCTAAAGGTCGTCGGATCGGTGCCCCAGTCGGCTTCCTTCCTAGTTCCTCTGGGGAGAAGTGGCTGCTCCCCTTCCCCGCTTCTGCCTCCTGGGGATAATTACACCCTGTCCTCCCCAACCTCTCCAGAGGCTCCAGCCTGCGCCCCCCCACCCCCGTCCCGGTCTCCGTGGCGACGGCCATACCCTCCCGGCCCGGCCCCTTTCTAGGAAGACCTGGGCCCCAATTTATTGAAAATGTTCATGTCTCTTTAATTTAAATTCTCTGAATAATGCTCTGTCTTCATGTAAGATGCGGATGGGCTACTCCTGGCTAGGGGGCCGAGCTGGCCGCCCTTGCTGGGTGGAATGGAGATGGCATGCCCAGCGTGGGCGGCCGAGGGGCAGGGCCCAGTGCTCGGGAAAGGCGACCGGTGGCCCCGGGGGTGCGGGGACCCCGGCCTTGCCAGCGGTCTGCGGGGCGGGGAGGCGTGTGGGCCGGCGGCGGCGGCGGCATCACCGCTTGAAGCGGTAGGTGATGGGCAAGAGGAGCTTGCTCTTTTTGAGAGCCTGCACCTTCTTGAGAGTCTCGTCGTCCAGCGCCAGGAAGCAGCGGCGGGAGTACTCCAGCAGGCGCTCCTTGGATGGGTCGAACTCTCCCACCTCAGCCAGCTTTTCGGGAGCCACAATGAGCAGCTCCGCGATGGGCGTGGTCAGCGCCACCGTGTTCCGGTCCACACGGTGGTGCTCAAAGGCTCGAGACATGCTCTTGAGCTTCTGGAAGGTGCCCAGGATCTTCTTGTAGCGGCAGAGGACCCCATCAGCGTCCTTCACTGCAGGGCCAGACGGACAGAAAGAGGAGAACGGGGAAAGACAGCCATGTGGGGACCCAGGGAGAAACAGGAGGGCAGGCATGAGGAGGAAAGGTGGGGTGAAGGGCACACACGTTAGAAAGCAAATGAAAACAAGCGGGGAGAAAATCAAGGAAGTTGAGGAGCCCAATACAGGAAGAGAAGGGAGAATAAAACGGGAAACAGGAGAGACCAGAGTAAGAAGTGGAGATGGGGGGGGGGAGGGGGATTGAAGAAGGCAGGCCTGGACACCAGAGGGAAGGAGAGCCTGTGCATACTGGGGAAGGCTAACACCTATGAGATGGGCCCAGAGGCCTCCTTTCTGAGGAGGAGACGGGATTGACTCTGCTGGTTGGTGTAAACTGAAATTTGAAATTAACTCAGGACCACACAGAAGGGCTGGGAGATGGGGCTGAGTCTGGTTGTTTTGTATATGGGGTAAGTTGGGGCATCGCTGCAGAACTCACACTTCAGTACCGGGTGGACACCCCTCAACAGGCCATCACGTGTACCCACTCACCCCGCTGCCTCTCTCGAGCCTTGGGCTTCCCAAATCGCCGCCGGCCAGTACTTCCCTTCGGCTTCTGCCTCTTCCTTTCACTGGCACTGCCCTCTTCGGACGCCCCGCTGAAGGAGGAGGCTGCTGACTCAGGGTCTGAAGCTTCTCCCCCAACCCCAGCCCGGCTGTCCCCATCAGCCCTCCGTGGCCCAGGCTTCATCCGGCAGTGGTCCTCTGAGGAGAGACAAAAATGAACTGTGACACAATGTCCTATCACTGCCCTGAAGGGGGAGGGAAAAAAATGGACCTGGAGGCTAGGTCTTCGGGATGGGGACAGGGTGAAGCCCCAGGGATGAATGGCTTAGAGCTAGCTGGGATTCAAGGAACTCACTGGGCTCTGTGATTATGTGGGGTTTCTGTAGGGGAAACACATCCGGGAACCTCCAGAGAGTAGTCAGAATCCCAGAGGCAGGCAAGGCTCTGGGTGAGAGGGTTGGATATCAGAGTTCAGTTTGGGTGTGGGAGAAGGCTAACTACCTTTCCCTGAACAGGGAGCCAACTGAGGCCCAGACGCAGCATCTTTCAAAGGAGGGACTCCTGAAGAGGACTGAAGTCAGTACTCTGGAGTCACCCAGGATAGAGCTCTCAGTGTAGGGAGAGGGGACACACATGATGCCATCCCAAGGCTGGGTCCCCAGGAACTGAGAGCCCTTAGTCCCTTTGCTGGGGCTTTTGACATCATCACCAGCTAGAAAGCCTGCCAGCAGCTCAGCTGGATACAGAGGTTCGGTTCTGGCCTAAATAAAGGTTAAGTTCTCCAAGACCTGAGCTAAAGATCTAGGGAAGGGCAGCATCGAACGAGGAATGTGGCAGGAAGGGCAGGCGGCACAGGTTAATCAGGAGGGCTGACACTGCCATGCTGTTGGTCATAAATTAGCGCAAGGCAGGGTGGTGGAATCTGCCATGACCCTGTGGCAGAGTTGAGGGGACAACTGAGACCCCCACACACACTCTGAGGAGTAAAAACCATTAGTTAACCAAGGCATACAGAACAGGGTGGTGGGAAAACAGACCACTGATTTGTTACTCCAGGGCACCTCTGATGATGGAATGTATGATTCAGAAGTCCTGGGGTGTGGGCAGGGCCCCTCTGAGGAACCCAGCGGACTATGGTAGCCTACTGGCAAGGGGACAAGGGACATTTCCCCTAAGATGAGGAACCTGGGCTGGAAATCCAGACTGAGTTACGCCAAGTGCTTGAGGCTAGTGGGTTAGGGACAGTCTATGACAGGGTAGGAAATGAGTCTTTGACACCACGGAGGAAATGGCTGGGTGGGAAGATCCTAAAATAGGCATGGTTCTTAGTGGAAGGATGGCAAGTCCCCATCAGGTCGGCCCAACAGTGGGCTTTGAATCCTGCGGGTCCTGGGGGAACGAACGGTGTGTCCCCACCCCCACCTGCATCCATCCGGGCTGAGGAAATGAATTTGTCCAGCTGACACCGCAGAAAGTCCCTCTCCTCCTCCAGGTCCTCAATGCGCTTCTGCAACCAGGAGTTCCTCTCCAGGGCCATGTGCAGCTGGGCCTTGACGCTGTTCATCAGGGCCAGGGTCGGGGAGGTGGCCTCTGGAGGCTCTAGGAACAACAGCAGGGGGTCATGCCCCAGGATGAGGCAGTGCCCCACCTGAGTCCAGTCCCTCCACGCCCTTTCTCAGCTCACCCTCAAAATTTCTCTGAGAGGGACTCAGACTGTAGAAGATCTGTGAGTCTAAGTGGGGTGCCTCTTCGAAGGGGATGGAGATCTCAAAGGTCTCTTCGTCCTTCACTGGAGAGAGGCCAGTGCAGGTCACCCCAGAAGCGGCCTGGCCCTTTCAGACCACCCCCAACCATAACTGCCCCGTGGATAGAGGGAACCAGAATGTCGGCCCAAGGATGAGGAAAGGGTCCCCAAGTGCCTCACTTGTCCGCCTACGGTTGCTTCGGTCATTCATAGCGAGGCTTCCAGCAGACCCAGCAGCTGAGCCCTCAGGGGCACTGGACAGAAACAGGTCACCAAATGTAGTCAGCTCCTGGAGAGGTGGAGTACCTGTTCCTCTGGAGTTGGGAGGGATCACCGGCCTGGAGCCATGGTCTGAGGGAGGAAAGAACCCATACTCCTGGACAGAGACACTGAGGTTTCCAAATCGTGTACCCAGAGCGAGGGGGGCTCGGCGAGAGGACTCCTGGTTGTGAAGGAGCTTGACCCTTAGATTCTTTGGCTCTTCATGGGGTCAACACCACAGAGATACTTTGGCCTGATTAGGAAGGACCCTCATCATGGGCCATCTCCGGACCCAAAGCCATAAATGGAAGGGAGAAACCACCCCTAACTTCCACGCTTGGGGTGGGGGGTCCATCCTGCAAGCGTCCCCCTGTCCCAGCCGCCCATTCCTCCTGCACTCGTGCGGGCTAGCAGAGCCCCTCCCCCGGAGTGGGGGCTGGGCGCGTGCGCAGTGCGGGGGAGGTCACGCGTGGGGATGCGCCCCCGCCCTTTGTCCCACAAGTGGGAGGGGGTGACCGTGGCAAAAGGTCCCAGAAAGGGCAACCAGCATGGGAGTGGCGACCGTGGGCACCATTCCCCGCCCCTGGGTGCTCAGGGTACAAGGGGCCGGGGCCCCGCTCTCACCCACCCGCGCAAGGACTCCAGCCCTGGGACCGACGGTGGTGGCGGCGCCCATGCCCAGCGTTGGGGAGCGTCTGCAAAGTGTCGCGGAGAAGCGCCCACCCACCCGTAAGCGGGCGCAGCGGCAGAGGAGGGGGAGTCTCGGAGGTGAATGACGGAGCGTGCCGAGACGCAGGCACTTGCGGGATCCGGCCTGCCAGGCCTGGCGCGCCTCTTCTCGGAGCCCAGGTGAGGCCCACCGTTTGCGCGGAGGTCGGGGCCGCACTTGCGCGATAGCCCCTTGCAACCCACCCACCCCCCACTCCCCCTCCCTTCCCAGAGCCCAGGCAGGGATCCTCATGAAATTCTCATCCTGCACAGCTGACAACAGGGGTCCTCCGGGTGAGTGGCTGTGTGCCCGGTGGGCCAAGAAAAGTCAGAAGGTACGAGGCAGCAAGGAAGATTGAGGCGAAACTTGAGTCCCCTTTTAATGATCCCTGAGGAGCTGGCACACACACACCTCTGGTCCTATACGCCTCAGGCAGCCATAACCCCCAACCCCATCCACGAAAAGGTTTAAAGGAATAAGAGAACCAGATGTGAGAATGGGTTGTGTGGTGGCTATATCTCCGCCAAGTGTGGGTCAGGAATAGCCGCCTGTAGAACAGCTACACTCCAGTCCCTGCTGCCTCATTCCTCCCTAGCCTCAGTTTACTCACCTGTTAAGTGGGAAGTTACTCTCTAGGGCCTTTACGAGGATGCAGTGGTGTGACACACCAAAGACTCAGCGCAGAGAGGGACCACTCTTGGGGCTTAGGATCCAAGCGCTGTTGGTATTATTTGAAGTCAGGCGGTGGAGTAGAAGCACAGCCTTAAGACACTCCTACTCGCCCCTCCGCCCCGAAAGGAGTCATGTAAAGAGGCTGACTGTATCTGGCACAAAACCGGCATGAAAGGGGACGGAGAAGACATGTTTATTAGGCCTGCAGCAAGGTTCCACCTGCCTCTCCGTTTCACAAGCAACACCCTCTCTATGGTTATGAAGCCTCCCTAATGGAGGCATGGCTTTAACCTTGCAGAGGGAGGTTGACCGTGTCAACCAAGAGACAAGCAGCTCCCTCTCGCGCTTCACTTCAGAAAGCAGCTGCAGCCTGGGTCAGCAAGTCCAGGGGGAGCCACCTGCCCTAGATCAGGGTTTCAAACCGCAGAGAACTGTATATAGGAAGGTGAATTCTAGATTTAAAATATAAGTGTGTCCTGTGCACACTAAAGGTAACTACCGTTAAAATTGTTCCACATGCCTTTGGTGTGCTTATGTTCTGGGCTGCTTTTTTTTTTTAAGTCTATTAATGCGGATTGTAATTTAAGTGGGGGAGGGGTGGCGTTTCATATTTCCAAAGGTGCTGGGAATGTACCCCTGTCTGTAGGGTGCCTAGCATGCAAAAGGCCCCGAGTTCCAGTACCCAGGAAGTGGAGGCAAGGTCATAAGTCTACTGGTACCCTGAGCTACATTACAACCTTGTATCAATAAATAGATGGCAGGTTTGGAGGAACCGAAGTAGGCCTAACTCCAGAGGAGAAAGTCAAACTTTCCCATTCCCCAGCCAAGGTCTTTGTACCAGGTGGTGAGTATAAACTAAGATAGCTCAAGCAGTGATTGAGAGTGGGGTGTTTATTGGGTGTCTAGTCTAGGGCCCTACCTCCAGTGTCAAAATAGAGGAGACTTTTGACAGCCCACCAAAACTTCTGAGGCAAGAGTTTTTCCCAAACAGCATTGTCCTCCGTTCCTCCGGTCAGGACTCGGGAATAATATCCCAAGTGTTCAAGATGCAGGGCTGTTCTCTTTGAGGGCTCATTCCCATCATAGCTCCAAAGCACTATGATGCACTAACAGCTCAAAGACTCTTCCAGGCAAGGCTCACATCAAAGAGGTTGGTCTGGGTTTGTGTCCAGGACCCTGAAAGCCAGCCTGCAACTCAGGCCAGTGTCTGATTCAGGAGACCCAGGATCCCTGGGGTCCCCAGGAACAGTTCATGGATGCTTCCACCGCGTGTGGTTCTGTGATGTGTTCTGCTTGGTAAAGCAGCACGGGCAATGCAGGCACTGGAACGGGCATCCACGGATGTGCTGGGCCAACTCACCCTCATCCCGGAAGCGGGGAGGGCACCTGCCCTATGAATGGAGTGGTGCTGCTCAAGGTGACTGGCCCGCTTGAATGCCTTCCCGTAGGTGTCGCATTTGAACGGCTTCACCTCGGAGTAGGTGATGCTGTGTCGCTGAAGGTAAGACATGTACTGGAAGACCCTAAAGCACACCGGACAGCTGTAGCACTTTTTCTGAACCGAAGTCCCATTGACCCCGGCCTCCCTCAGTGCCTCCTCGTCCACCAGCAGTAGGTAGGGGACACCCTAGTGTCAGTGAGGAGATATCGCTGAGCCTTGGAGGGGATAAAGTCTGGGGACCCACCTGTCCGAGAGAGGGGGCCCTCCATGGCCTCAATAGAGGGAAGTGCCGGGGTCTGGGAGCAGCGAGGTAAGAGCTCCAGCACCCATAGATGTAAATGAGGCCTGGTGGATGGGAGAGAGTATGAGAAGATCTATCGGAGAAGGGAACAAGGACTCCGTTCTTGCTATGTGCTCTGCCCAAGGTCCTCTGCGTTGTCCCTATAAGGCCCCTGGAGTCTCTCTTCTGGGCTCCACTACCTACTACATTCACGCAGTCGCTTTCCCTCTATAAGTCAAGACCTCAGTCCCCTCCCCCCGTGTGCCCTCCTTGAGTCACTGTGCAGCCATCCTGCACATTTCGTGGCCCTCCGGGACTCTCCCGCGCTCTGACCACCACCCGGTCTAAAAGTGGGTCCATCCACTATGTCTAGGTTCTTCCCTTACAGGCCCCACCCGTAGTTCTTTCTAGGTCCGCAGCCCCCGCCTTTGGAGATTTCCCAGCAAGTTTTCGAAAAGCTGCCCATTGGGACGCGGTCCTCCCGGGCTCCGCCCCCTCTGCTGCCGCTCGGGTCTCCATCCCTCCTCCCATGCCTGGTACCCAGTGCAGCAGCCTCTCGGGTCCGGGCGGCCCGCGACAGCCCCGGGTTGCACCCACAGCTTAGGCGGCAGAGGGACCAGAAACCCTTGGCTACAGTCAGCACCCGGCAGTACCGGGTTTGGGAAATAGGGACTCAGAGAGACGAGGGTCTAGGAGAGGGCGGGTCGTCTGAGCATCAGAAAATAGCTCCGGTAGGAAACGCACTTAGAGCACAAGGTTCCTAGGTGTTAGCGGTCCGGACCCAATCAACCTTCTCCCAACATTCAACTCACACGCAAGCAGGAGCCTGAGAATGAAGTGCGGAATGTTTATTGGGCAGAGAATGAGGGGTCGTGGGCATTAGAGGGAAGTACAGAGATGATCCAGACCGTGCTGGTGCTTTTGCCATGTCTTCCACGAGGACCTCACCTCTTGGGAAGAGTAGAAAACCAAGACTCGGGAGAGGTCGCATCACTTGCAAAGGCGTACACAGCACAGCCAGACTGAAGCCCAGTTCCAACTGGCACCCAGGCCCAGAAGGGCAACAACTTTGGTCTACATCACACAGCTAGACGGGAGAAAAGACAAAATGATGTTTCTCTTTGGGGGACAGGTGGGGAAACTGAGGCCTAGGGTAAGGCAGTAACCTCAGCAGAACTGGGAATGTATGGGTGTGACGCTGTGTGGGTCAGACGTGGTGGCCCAGAGAGGGCAGGGCGCGGAGCTCAGTGCAGGCGCACGTGCTGCGCCAGCTCGGAGGCGTCCTGGAAGCGGCGTGGACAGAGCGGGCAGGTGTGCGGTGGGCCAGCGCGCGCGCGGTGGGTGGCGCGGTGCCGCGACAGGTGGCTGGAGCGCTTGAAGGCTTTGCCGCAAGCACCGCATGTAAAGGGCTTGAGGTCCGAGTGCGACACGCGGTGGCTCTGCAGCCGTAGAGGGCTGGCAAAGACACGAGCGCACTCTGGGCAGCTGTAGCCCTTGCGAGGACCCGGCTCTCCCGGGGTCGCCTCGCGCTGCGGCGGGCCCCGAGGTTCCTCCTCCAGCTGCACCGTGTACGTGTAGGGGACCCCGTTGGCGTCGATGAGCAGGTGGCGGCCCAGCCGCGGTTGTCGCGGCCCCGCCACCGAGGAAGAAGTGGAGGAGGGGCCTTCCGCCTTGGGAAAAGGGGGAGTCTTGGGGGGCGGTGGGTCCATGACCTCCGGGGAGGAGGACCGAGGGTGGGGTGGCCGCGGCGGCAGCAGCAGCATCTGGAGCGGCAGCTGGGAGCGGCGGAGGGAAGAGAAGTTAAGATCGTCTCTTCCTTTCAGGAAAAAAATCCTAAAAAGGAAGGTGTTCCTATTCTCTGCCAGACTCTGTGCTACTGACCTACCTCCCTACAAAGTGAAAACTGACTCCAGTCCTCCTCTCTGGGACTCCTCCACCAGGGCTGGGCAACACCCAGCTCCACCCGACTCAGGTCAGAACCTCGGACATCCTCCGGATTCCCTCCGCCCATCCCCACCCACCGCAATCCGTCTCCAAGTCCATTCTCTCCTTTTAGCTTAGGTCCTCTCTAACCTCACATTCCAGGCCCTGGCGGCCTCCGGGATTTTTCTCCCATCTACCCTTCCCTCTTTCCCAGAGCTCTCTACTCAAGCTCTGGCTTAATCCTCTCCCTCAGGTCCCACAACACCCTGGGGGTGGGGGATCTCCACCCCACTCGATGCCCTTCAGGGCCTCCCAAATCTCCACAGTTGTCGTGGCCTCAAGTTCCCTCCCTACATACTTGCCCAGAGTCCCACTAACCCAATTCCCCACTTTCCACTCAGGGCTCTTTTATGTTATCCCCACACTCCGCACTTAGACGTCTCGCCATTCTCTTCCGACATCGTCTCCACTTCATCCTCAACTGCCTTCCTCATATATGCGCCCCCATCTTGTTGCAATTCTTCATTCACCACCATCCCCAGCCCTCTCCCCTCCCCCGGAAAGTATCCTGACATCTTCTTTCTCTCTCCACCGCCGCCACCACCATGGAGCCTCCTCCCATTTGCAGCCAGACACCGGACCTTCTGGTTTCCCGTTCCCACACCAGCTCTCCCTAACCTTGGTCCCTCCTCTCGAGATGCAGCTGGCATCTCTTGTCTCTCTTCACCTCCCCGGCTATACGATGCATGGTCCCGCGCCTGGGGCGCTCTAGCACCTTGGTCCTCTGAACCACCCGATCCCGTTATATCCCCAGGGCCTTCCTACACCACTGGCTTCCATAAGGAGCCCTGCCTTCCCGACGCCCCTCTCTCCTAGCCTCACGGCCCCGACCCACACCCAGAGCCCTGCCGGCCTCGCGCCCAGCCCAAGCCAGGCTCCTCCCTCCATCCCGGCCCCCGTACCCGGTGCAGCAGCCTCTCGGGTCCGGGGGAGAGCGGGGCCGAGGTCCCGGACGGACCCGGGCTTGCCCTGACGAGCGCCGCGGCAGGAGCGAGCTTCCGGGTAGCTCCGGGCCGGCGGCGCCGGGGACGCGGGTCGGGGGGCGCAGGGGCGCGAGGGGCGACGGCGTCCCTGGGAAAGAGCGCCGATCAGAAACGCACGCTCCACACACGAAGGTTCCGACGCCGGAGTCGGCCCCTCTAGTGGGAGCGCGCGGTGGGGGGCGGGGGGGGTGTTGGCGCGTGGCCAGCGAGAGGGACCTGCAAAAGAACAGTTCCCCGTTGCGTGCCCCCATCCTCAGAAAGAGCCGTTCCTTGGCTTTGAATGGCCAGTAAACTGAAGCTTGGTACCGTGAAGTCTCGCAAACCACCCTTAAAGAATTGGAATGTGCAGTTTGCCATCTTTCCACCCTGCCTCCCCTTTCCGCTCAGGCAAAGCCACTTAAGGTAGAGGGTTAGAGAAAGGGTGTTACTGTTGGTTAAGCAAATGGAGAGGCTGAGGTCCAGGGGCCAGATGTTTGCTCTGGTGTGGCATGGGCGCAATCCTGACTTCTCCTAAACGGGGAAGCCAATGTCCAAAGAAGATGTTGCCAGATTAGGTGAGGTATACGTGCTCCACTGAACATACAGGGAAATAGGCTGGAGAAGACCAGATGTAAGGTAAAAAGGTACTACGCTTACAGTGACTTTGTGATATTCCTTGGCTCCCAGTCGCTAAAATACCTTTCCATACGAGCTGCAACGCTTACACCAGATACTGACATAGAAAGGGAAATGCTCTTGCTGAGCATATGGGAAAAGTGAAACCTGGAGCTTTAGGTATCGAAGTGGGAACAGAGCTTGAGGTATAGCTCAGTCGGTAGCATGCTTTATCTAGCGTGCCCTCTGGGTTCAATCCTCGGGGTGTAGTAGTATCTCACTCAAGCCTTTAATCCCAGCTCTCCGGAAGTGGAAACTGGAGAATCAGAAGTTCAAGATCATCTTCAGCAACATAGCGAGTTGGAGGCCAGCCTGGGCGACATGAAACCCTGTCTCAAAACAAAGGTGGAGGTGGGGGTGGGGGTGGGGGGAGGACTGTGATTCTTGCCAGTGATCAGGTGGGGAAAGTAAAGCCCAGAGGGTGCCAGACACTCTAGGCACAGGCATGGGAAGGTGTGTACTTCCCATTGAATACATGGGGAAGCTGAGACTCAGAGAACCAGACTTTCTACGTATTATGCAATCAAGGAAGCTGGTTTTCCGGAATGGAGAAGAGTGCAGGCAAGGGCACTGGAGCCCTTTGCCCAGTGTAGCAGCGGCGCTCTGGGCCCTTCGCGGAGGGTCTGAGCATTCACTGTTATGCAGCCTGGACCAGCGAGGACGCGAGAAGGAAATAGGGGTGCGTCGAACCCATCTAGGGCTAAATGCTGGAACCATATACTAGAAGCTGAGAGGGAGCAACAGCTGGAAATAGCCGAGGGACGCCAGGCGATGTTGGTGCACGCCTTTAATCCCAGCACTCTGGGAGGCAGAGGCAGGCAGATCTCTGTGAGTTGGAGGCCAGCCTGGTCTACAGAGCTAGTCCAGGACAGGCTCTAAAGCTACAGAGAAACCCTGTCTCAAAAAACAAACAAACAAAGGAAATAGCCGAGGGAGAGGAGGGTTAGTCCAGCGTCCAGCCTGAGGACCCCTAAGGGTGGACAAGCCCCCTTGTAAAGTTGTCCAATGTTGTATAGCCGGTGTGGGTTCACGCGGGTCCGTGGAAAAAAGTCCTTCATTCCAACAAATCCCTGTGTGGTGTGACACGCTCAGAGCTTGAACTGAAGCTAGTTTCTGGGGCTCTGAAGTATAGAATTTTTCATCCCTTAGATTTACCCTGTGGAACCACTATATAAACTTACTTTTTCTTCTTGAGATAGAATCTCAAGTAGCCTAGCCTGGCTTCAAATTTGCTATGTAGCCTAAGATAACTTTGAACTCTTTTTTTTTTTTTTCATGTATATGAGTGCTTTACCTGCATGTATGTATATGCACCACGTGTGTGCTTGGTGCCCTTGGAGGTCAGAAGAGGGCATCGGATCTCCTAGAACTGGAGTTCAGGTGGTTGTGAGCCACTATGTGGGTGCTGTGACTGGAGCTCAGGTCCTCTCCAAGAGCAAAAGAGTTCAATCCCAAGTGACTCACATGGTGGAAGGAAAGAACCAACTCCAGGAGTTGCCTGCTGACTGCCATGCACATGCACATGAGCACACATAACTGAACATTAAAAACTAAACCAAGCCGGGCAGTGGTGGCGCACGCCTTTAATCCCAGCACTCGGGAGGCAGAGCCAGGCAGATCTCTGTGAGTTCGAGGCCAGCCTGGGCTACCAAGTGAGTTCCAGGAAAGGCGCAAAGCTACACAGAGAAACCCTGTCTCGGAAAAAAAAAAAAAAAAAAAAAAAAAAAAAAAAAAAAAAAAAAAAAACTAAACCAAGAAGAAGGTGGAGGCACAATATGAAATCTCAGTGAGTGCGTGACTTTTGATCACTCAGTCCAAAAGGCGAATATTATATTCCCCCTCTCCCTCCAAAGATACTTGTGGATGGAGCTGGAGCAATTCCTCGCAGTAGTTAAGAGCACTAGCTGCTCTAGTAAAGGACCATTCCCAGCACCCACATAGTAGCTTGCAACTGTTTGTAACTCCAGTTCCCAGGGATCCAACATCCTCTTCTGGCCCTCAGGGCACCAGGCATACACATGGTTCACAAACATACATGCAGGCAAAGCACCCATATGCTGTGGAATAATCCTCCTGTACACTGTAAAGATTTGTTGCTCTAATTGGTTTAATAAAATGTTGTTTGGCCAGTAGCTGGGCAAGAAGTATAGGCAGGGCAACCAAACTAAGGATGACGGGAAGGAGAAGGGCAGAGTCAAGAGAGATGCCAGCCACCGAACAAGTGGGATGTGTAAAAAATGAGGTAACAAGCCATGAGCCATGTGGCAAAGCATAGATAGAAATATGGGTTAATTTAAGTGTAAAGGTTAGCTAGTTTGCCGGGCAGTGATGGCGCACACCTTTAATCCCAGCACTCTGGAGGCAGAGGCAGGCAGATCTCTGTGAGTTCGAGGCCAGCCTGGTCTAAAAAGCAAGTTCCAGGACAGGCTCCAAAGCTACACAGAGAAACCCTGTCTCAAAAAACCAAAAAAAAAATAAAGTTAGCTAGTAGCAAGCCTGAGCTATTGGCCAAACATTTATAATTAATATAAGACTCTGTGTGGTAATTTGGGAAGCGGCTGCTAGGTATTCCGGAACTGGCAGGTGGGAGAGAACCATCTGTTTACACCCATAGACATAAAATTATTTTTTAAAAAACAGACACTACTGGATGGTATATAGCATTTGCTTAGTATGCCCAAAACACTGGATTTGATTCCCCCACCCCCTTGAACCACAGGGGGCAGCCCTGCCTCCTACCTTGGATACAATCATGATAAAGTCTCTGTCAGGGTGCACTGTGTAGCATGGGTCAGTTGAAGAAAGAAGGCACTTCAAGATGAAAGGTCCAGCCTCTCTGATGGACTGAACCCCAAACAACCATACAAAGTCATATTTATTGATTGTTACTCAAAGTATTTCCTCATACCAAGCTCCCTAATCTAATTTACATGTCTTACTGAAGGAGAGCATCACGTGCCCCCATGACTCTAGTCCTTTATTATATATCATTTGCAATACACAACAGACAAAAGCCTCAGGTGTGCCTGAGGCATCTTGAGACCAAAATCATAGAGTGGCTGCAGTGCCCTTTCAGCAAATCACTGTTTTCTGAAAGGATTCTTCAAGGTCAAAGTACTTCTAGAAAACAGCTGTTCATTCTTATGTCTACCCCAGATATAGTGACTCTGCTAAATTCCTACAACAATCTCACCAGAAATCAGCATAAATCTAAACCCTTCTTGATAAGTAAAAATCCCCCAGTAGTGAGTGCCCTCCGCTGATGCAAAAAGTCAGATCAGGCCAAATTAATAAGTCCAGGTTTAATAAACAGAGCAAAGCAACTCCCAGGTGACTCTGGGGAAGGCAGGAGAGCGAGCACAGGGCAGGTCTGGTGACTGGGTCTCAAATACCCTGTAGGCGAGGTCCTGAGAGGCCTAGGGGAGGGGCTGGCCCTTGGCGGGCTTTCTTTGGGCGAGGTCTGGAGAGGGCAGCTTCAGGGGAGATCCCCAACCCTTCAGTGTCTCATTTCCCCCCCCACCCCCAAAAGCCAGACAAATAGGCTTCATCTTCCATCAGATCCATGCCCTGATAGGTTCCATTGTTTGTTTGTTTGGGGGGGGGGGGGGGGTTGGTGGTAGTAGTGGATTTGGTTGGGTTTGGTTTAGTTTTGTTTTGTTTTGTTTTTTTTTTTTTTGAGACAGAATCTGACCGTCCTGGAACTCACAATGTGGACCAGGCTGGCCTCAACTCTCAGAGATCTGCCTGCCTCTGCCTCCCGAGTGCCGGGATTAAAGGCGTGCGCCACGCTGCCTGGTCCTCCACTCTGTTTTTCAAACCGCCGTTCTGGCAGCTTCTCCCCTGGACGCCAGTTTCTGCCTTCTCCCTAGTGCTGCCGCCTCCAGTGGCCTGATACGATTCTTCAAACAACTGAATTGAATGTTACACTTGCACATCCAAAACCTTGTCAGGGATGGAGAGACGGCTTAGCAGTTAAGAGCACACCACGCTCTTCCAAAGGTCCTGAGTTTGGTACCCAGAACCCACATAAGGTGGCTCGCTGACACCAGCTCCCTCCAGGGGAACTGGCCTCTGAGAGGTCACACGCACGCACGCACGCGCGCGCGCAGCGCGCGCGGACACACACACACACACACACACACACACACACAGAGAGAGAGAGAGAGAGAGAGAGAGTCTGTGCCTTCAGTTGTTTGAGCCTGAGGCCATCTGTACTGCTTTAACAGTAGGTAGTGCTCAGGACCCAGGTTCACAATTCCCTGGTAGGCTTTGAGCCGTATAAAATACGAGTAGACTGCTTTTGGTAATGACAGCCATTTCCACAGTATTAATTCTGTCAGAACAGGAACACAGAATGTCTGTCTGTCCATCATCTAATCACTACTGTCTTCTTCCATTTCTTTTTTCAATGTCTTAAAGGTTTTCATTGTAGAGGTCTTTCACCTCCTTGGTTAGGTTAACTCAGAGTCTGAGATACGTTTCTATTTTAAGCTATTGTGAATGGACTATTTTTTCCTAATTTCTTACTGGCGAGGCCCATGGGGTCTTTTGAGTGTAGACTCATGTTGCTTGCAAGAAGGGACAATTGGCTCCTTCCCTGTTTGTATCCTCTTTCTTTCTTTCTAGCCTTGCCTCCTGATCCTCCTGTCTCCACTTCCCAAGTGCTGGGGAATACAGGTGGGAGCCAGCACCTGCGGCTGCCATCCCTGGGCCCAGAAAGGGAGTCACTTTGCTTTATAGAAAATGTTACTGTCTGGGTTGGAGAGATGGCTCAGCTTTAAGAGCGCTGATCGCTCTTCCAGAGGACTCGGGCTTAATCCCCAGAACTCACACGGTGGCTCAGAGCTCTGGTGCGGACGGTCTGACACGTTCCTCTTGCTCCCGAGGACACTGCACACACGCAGTGCACACACCTACGTGCAAGCAAGGCAACAAACAAACAAACAAAAATACGACTTGAAGAAAGTCTTTGAATTTGTATTGTCAGCCTGTGTGTGTGTGTGTGTGTGTGTGTGTGTGTGTGTGCGTGTGTGCGCGTGTGTGCACACAGGTGAGTGTGTGCATGTCATCGCACATGTGTGGAAGTCAGAGGAAAACTTGCAGGCGTGGCTTTTCTCCTTCCATAGTCTGTCCCAAGGATCAAATGCAGGGCAGCAGGCAGTGAGCACTTGTACCTGGTAAGCCGTCCCACTGGCCTGAGTTGCTTGCCTTTACGCCACCCAGCAGGAACGCAGTTTTCCTGTCCATTATCAGGCCCTGTTGGCCCGAACATGGGACGCCAACTGCAGAGCTTCCAACAATCACCAGGACCGTAAAAAACCAAGTGTGAGCCAGGGCTGATGCCGGAAGCTGTGTGTGAAGCAATGCCCTTCTGGATGGAATGCTGGCACCCTTGGGCTCAGGGCTTCCCACTGACTGCGGCGCTGATGTTGCCTCGGGCTCCAGGGTACTGCTCTGCAGGTCCCAGGCACAGGCAACTCTTGAGGGCCTTCATATTCCACGGACAATGGAATCTCTCACCAGCTCAGGCCCAGGGATCCAGGGACAAGGGGCTCCTCCACTATATACAGCAGGAGATACCACTCCCACCAATGACACTATTTTCAAGGCGGGCGGGCGGGCGGGGGGGGGGGGGGGGGGGGGCGGGAGGATAGAGAAGACAGAAAGAGAGAGGAGGCCTCAGCCTTGGCACCATCGGGAACAGGGTGGGCGGAAGTTTGGAATCTGGAGCTTGAAAGGAGAAGGAATTAATTAAAAGTCCCTCTGCCAGGCGTCCCACGCCGCCGCCTCCCCTGACACCTGTGGGTTTCCAGCGTACCCCACAGTTGGGGTCAACCGTTGGATCTGGCAGCCATGCTGCCGTGGCTTTGCAGTCTCCCAGGCTGACACGGGAAACCCTGGGGAGGATCCTGGGACAGTGACTACTAATCCAGCTCCACACCAACGGCAACATAGTCACTCTTCCCGGAAGCACTAGAACATGCCACTAAGTCAGCTTTGTGGAGCTTCTGAACCATGTGACTCTTGGGGAACCAGCATAGGAAGCCTGTGCTGGGTTGTGTAGCTCTGGCTGTCCTGAAACTCACTCTGTAGACCAGGCTGACCTTGAACTCACAGATCTGCCAGCCTCTGCCCTCCCAGTGCTGGGATTAAAGGCGTGTGTCACCACCTCCCAGCTACTTTTTGTTTGTTGGTTTTTGTTTTCTTTGTCAACTTGATAAAGTGCTGGGATCAAAGGCATGAGCCACCACCACCTGGCTCTGTTTCTCCTGTAGCCCAGGGTGGCCTTGAACTCCTGATCTTCCTGCTTCCTCCTTCCCAAGTGCTGGGATTAAAGGTGCGTGTCACTGCCGCCTGGCCTCAATGGTTAACTAGTGACTTGCTCCGACCTCTGATCTCCAGGCAGGCTTTATTTGTCAGAACACAAACAAAATATACAAGAGATTGGCCAGGAGGCAAGTTTGTGGGACATTTTTTTTTTGATTGATGACTGATGTGTGTGTGGGGGGGGGGGGGGGTGCGCTCAGGCCACTGTGCGTGGTGTCATCCCTGAGCAAAAAGTCCTGGGATGTATAAAAAAGCAAACGAAGAAGCAATGGGAATCAAGCCAGTAAGCAGCCTCCTCCGTGGCCTCTGCTTCAGGTCCTGCCGTGAGTGCTGCCGTGACTTCCCTCCATGACGGACTGTAAGATGAAATAAGCCCCGTTCTTCCCTAACTTGCCTTGGTCACGGTCCCTGCACTGGAAAGCACACTGGACAAAACCCAAGCTGATGGTCATGAAACTTCCCCATAAAGGCACTCTCTCCCAGGCCTTATGGGGGCGACAAAGTTCAAACTATTAAAACGTTCCCTCCATTTTCACAGATTGTGAGATTCAAATTCAAAGACTTAAGGATCAGGCTGGTGAGATGGCGCGTGGATAAATAAACGGTCTTGCTGCCAACCCCGACAGCCCGTTTGACACCCGGCCTGAGTTTGACAATAGACTCACATGATGGAAAAAGAGAACTGACTTCCACAAACACACCATGGCATGCACATAAACACACAAATGCGCGCACACACACACACACACACACACACACACACACACACACACAAATGGATTTTTTAAATGTTTTAGTTTAGAAATAAGACCACTTCCTCAGTGAAGAGTTACCGGCATGTGAAAAAGGACCCACAGTGGAGACTCCCTGGCCCTCGGGGTTAACAAGGTTGAAGAGGCACATGTTAGATGAAGGACAAGGTGAAACTACAAACTACGTGGGCCCTTGCATTCCCTACTTGTGCAGAGCACGACACGTTCATGAGGAAACTATCTTCTCGCTCCCACAGTATACATAACTGCTCCTTTGTAGCCCAGTCCGGGCTCAAACCTACAATCCTCTGCCTCATGATTATAGATAGACACCACCTAACATAGCTACTGAATTGTTTTTAACCTTACTTGGGTTTTTTTTTTTTTTTTTTTTTTTTTTTTTTTTTTTTTTTTTGGCTTTTCGAGACAGGATTTCTCTGTGCAGCTTTTGGAGCCTGTCCTGGAACTCACTTTGTAGACCGGGGTGGCCTCGAACTCACAGAGATCTGCCTGCCTCTGCCTCCCGAGTGCTGGGATTAAAGGCGTGCGCCACCACCACCCGGCTGTTTGTTTTTTCAGACAGGGTCTCACTATGCAACACTGACCGGCCTGGAACTCGAAGAGATGATTATGCTTGCTTCTGCCTCCTGAGTGATGGCATCAAAGGCATGCACCACCGTGCTCTGCTTTATTTTTTAATTGGGTATATATGCTGCTGCCACGTGAGTGCCCCGCCAGGAGCACTAGCAGGAGACATGGGATTCCCCTCGGTGGAGCTGGAGCTGCAGGTGGCTGTGAGCCACCCAGTGTGGGTGCTGGGAACTGAGCTCGGATCTTCTGCAGCAGCAGCAGGAAGCACTCAACCATTGAGCCATCTCTCCATCCCCATAACTACTTAAAAAATGGTTTTAAACGACATTTATTGGTAGGCAGGGCAGAGTGCATGCTACGGCACTTGTGTGGAGGTCAGAGGACAACTTGGGAAAGTCAGTTCTTCACCTTCTACCATGTGGGTCCCAGGGATTGGACCCAAGTCATCAAGCATGGCAGCAACGACCCTTACCCACTGAGCCATCTCTCTGGCTCTGGAATACCTGCTTCTAATAGCGGCTGTACGGATTCAGCTTGACCTGACTGTAATTCATCATGATAACTACCATAACTGCCCCAGAGTAAGGCTTGGTTTTCCTTGCAGCCTCTCAGTGAACTACAGACACACCATTAGAGTAGCGTGTGGAGTTTCATCGTCAGGGAGAGACCTGCCCCTTTGATATTAGCTGAAACTAAATCAGACACAGTCCACGTTAGATGAGGTCCCGTTCCTGCTAGCCTTTCCTGCTGATGCAGATGTTGCTCTTGCTGCTCACACTTCTCTGGGCATGTCTCCTCAATATATCCCACTCCATGGACTCCTGGATCTATCTGTTTCTTTTCTGCAGTCTCATCACGGCCCTCGGAGCTGGCTCTCACACACTGGTGTGTATCCTTACACTCGTGACTTCTCAGTTAGTCCTGACTTCATGTTGTGTGCCCCAGTGCCAAGTCAGTCACAGCTGTATTGGACAGACAAATACACAGAAGACAGATAAACAGACAACTACAATGCAGGATGGAGAAACAGCGCCACTCGGGAGGCAGAGGCAGGAGGAGCTCTGTGAGCTCCAGGACAGCCTAGTCTACAGAGTGAATTCCTGGCCACCCAGGGCTACACAGGGAGATCCTTCAAGTGGTCCTGGGAGATGGCGCTACAGGTAAAGGTGAGTGCCAACAAACCCGAAGACCTGCGTTTGACCCCAGGACCAACGTCGTGCAAGGAGAGGACTAACCTCTGGACGTTATCCTCTGACCACCACACACACCCCTTAGGACATGTGCACTCACACAGACACACACAAAATAAATGAATAAAAACATGATTTAAAATATTTAAAGTGGCAGGCAGCAGTGGCACACACCTTTAATCCCAGCACTCGGGAGGCAGAGCCAGGCGGATCTCTGAGTTCGAGGCCAGCCTGGGCTACAGAGCGAGATCCAGGACAGGATCCAAAGCTATACAGAGAAACCCTGTCTCGAAAAAAAAAATCTTTTAAGTGGACTTTAATGTTTAATGTGTATGGATGTTTCCCCTGCATGTATGTCTGGGTGCCACTTGCATATCTGGTGCTCAAAAAGCCTAGAAGAGTTATCAGATGTCATAGAACTAGAGTTAAAGATGGCTGTGAGTCACCGTGGAAGTGGTGGGACTCAAAACTAGGTCTGGAAGAGCAGCCAGTGCCGCTCTTACCCCCCCCCCCCCACGCCCCTCCCGCACCATACAGGGCTTCTCTGCATAGCCTTGGCTGTCCTGGAACTCACTCTGTAGACCAGGCTGTCCTTGAACTCACAGATGTTCTCTCTGCCCCCTGAGTTCTGGGATTAAAGGCACATGCCACCACAGCCAGGCGCAGCCAGTGTTCTTCACTGCTAAGCCATCTCTCCAGCCTCTGAGATACTCCTTTTTAATATAAAAATTTGTTGTTTGTTTTTGTATTTTGAGACAGGGTCTCATAGTCCAGGCTAGCCTTGAACACTCCTGTGTAGCTGTTATGGAGCCTTGAAGACCCCTGGGAAAAGACCCGAGGCTCAAGCTGGATTGTAATTGGTTAAACTTCTTGAAGCTCATAGCAAGACGGCCATCTCTGAATCAAACTGGAGACTGCTACTCGAAGTAGTGCGAGGGGAGGATCTTGAAAGACAGAAACCACAAGAAGACTTGGAGTATCTGCACAAGCAAGCCAACAGCTGTTCTGCTCTGCCAAGATTCAAGGTGACCTCCAAATAGTCCTCGACTGTCTGCCTAGGCACGTTACAGAAGCCAAACAAACAGTTAGCTGTACAAAAAGATGGTCGCGGCTGTACACTGCTGGGTGGGGGGCACTGGGTACCAAGATGGACGCCTAGCATAAAATGGAATGTGATTTTGTTGTTGTTTTTTGTTGTTTTCCCCTGGGTAGCCCTGGCCGTCCTGGAACTCACTCTGTGGTCCAAGCTAGCCTTGAACTCAGAGATCCACCTGCCTCTGCCTCCTGAGTGCTGGGATTAAAAGCATGTGCCGCCGCTGCCGCCGCCGCCACCACCCAGCAAAAATGAATCTTTTAATAAATTAACATAAAATGTTAAGATCACTATAATCCTATACTGTTAAATAATCCTATATTGTTAAAGACAATAAAGGGCAGGGTTTTGTTGAGAAGCCCCTGCCCACAAGTGAGTATGCTTTATCTTTTCTGTGTGCCTCTTCTAATTCTTGTGCTTAAATTCTATTATCAGCAGGGCATGGTGGCATGTGTCGCTCTTGCAGAGGACTGGGATTCTGTTCCTGTCATCCACAAGGTGGCTCTCAACCAGGCATAACTCCAGTTCCTGGGGATATGACGCCCTCTTCTGCCCTTCTCTGGCACCAGGCACATACCTGGAGCACACACCTACATCCAGGCAAAACACTCACACACGCCTTTAATCCCAGCATTGGGAGGCAGAGGCAGGGGGATCGCTGAGTTCCAGGACAGGCTGGACTCACAGAGAAAGCCTGTCTGGAAAAAAAAAAAAAACACAAAGCAAAACAAACAAACAAAAAAACATATATACAAAGTAAGATCAATAAATCTTTCTTAAAATTTTGGGGGAGAAATGAACAGTCTTTTAACATTGAGACTCTGTGACCTCCAAATGTGCCTCTTGACACATGGGTGCCCCCTGCAGTAAGTAAATAAATGCATACATAAATACATTAAAAACGAGCCTGATTAAGCTGTAGATGCTATTTAAAATAGGAAAATGCATGTATGAATATTCACTACATGAGTCTTGCAACTTTTGTTTGACATTTTTTAATCTTTAAAATATTTACTTCTTTCATTTTATGCGCATGAATGTTTTCCTGCATGTATGCCTGTGAGCCACATGCATGCCTTGTGTCTGAGGAGGTCAGAAGAGGATGTTACAGTTACAGGTGGCTCTGAGCGACCATGTGGGTGCTGGGAAGTGAACCCAGGTCTTCTGGATGAGTGGCCAGTGCTCTTAAATGGCTGATCCATCGCCTAAGTCCCCTTAGTTCAATTTTTTTAAATAAAATATTGGTGTCAGGGAGCCTGTAAACAATTTTTTTTAAATCTGACACACATACAGGCATACATTCAAGCAAAACACTCATACACACAAAATAAAATAGTATAATTAAAAATAACATTAAGGCCGGGAAGTGGTGGTGCACGCCTTTAATCCCAGCACTTGGGAGCCAGGCGGATCTCTGTGAGTTCAAGGCCAGCCTGGTCTACAGAGTGAGATCCAGGACAGGCACCAAAACTACACAGAGAAACTCTGTCTCGAAAAACAACACAAAAAATTTAAATAATTGGACATGGTAATCATATTTTTATTCCCAGCACTCAGGAGTCAGAGGCAGTAAGATCTGTCTAAGTTTGAGGCCAATGTGGTCTACAGAGTAAGTTTCAAGAGAACCAGGATTATGTAGTGAGACCATTGCTCAAAAATAAAAGATTTACTATTGAAGGTATTGCTAGAATACCTTTTTTTACTTACATTTTCTTATCTACTATTTGTCCTAGTTTGCTCTCTCTCTCTCTCTCTCTCTCTCTCTCTCTCTCTCTCTCTCTGTGTATGTGTTTCTCTGTGTCTCTGTGTCTCTGTGTCTGTCTCTCTCTCTTGCCTTCTCCATCTGTGCTGCGGAGAGAACTAGCACCTTGCACATACCAGGCAAGCACTCTGCCACGCAGCTGCATTCCCAGCCTGATACACTGTTTCTACAGACAACAGCTAGTGCTCGTAACCTCTGAGCTATCTCTCCAGTTTATTTAAAAACAGAAAAATACCGCAGTGCTAAGAACCGGGGGTCAAGTGCCCACGCAGTACCTGGCTCATCTGAGTACCATTTGGCTGCTGGATGACTAGTTTTGAGATGCAAGCATTTTGGCCGGGCGGTAGTGGCCCACATCTTTAAAGCCAGCACTTGGGAGGCAGAGCCAGGCGGATCTCTGTGAGTTCTTGAAAAAAAAAATAGATGCAAGTATTTTGAACTGGGAGGAGATAGGAAGAGAAAAAGCCAAGTGATCCAGTTCTAACTAAGCTGATTTTGTTATGAAGATGATAACATCATGAGCCTTTGCTTCTGGCCTCTGTGAGTACTGGCATGTATCTAAAGTCGCGTGTCACCATGCCTGCTCAAACTCGGGTTCTATGGAGGAGCAGGAAGATTCTGGCCAAGCAGAGTGTAGTGGCACACCACTTTAGTCCAAGCACTTGGAGGGCAAAGGTAGGTGGATCTCTGAATTTGAGACCAGCCAGAGTGAGTTCCAGGACAGCCAGGGCTGCACAGAGAAACGTTGTCTTGAAAAAAAAAAAAAAAAGACCTGAGTTTGATTCTCAGCACCCACATGACATGGCTCAATAATTCATGCAACTCCAGCTCCAGAGAATACATCTCCATCTTCTGGCCTCTGCAGGCACCCATACACATGTATGCATAAATTAAATAAAATTAAATAAAAATTGGTGGTGATATTTTATTTGTGCGCCCCAATAAAGCTTATCTGGAGATCAGAGGGAAAAGCCAGCCACTATATTAAACACAGAGGTCAGGCAGTAGTAGTACATGCCTTTAATCCTAGCATTCAAGAGGCAGAGATTCATCCAGACCTCTGTGAGTTCAAGGCCACACTGGGAACAGAGCCAGGCGTAGCGGCACATGCCTTTAGTCCCAGTACTAGTTAACCATAGAGGTCTGGAGGTCTGGACAGACAGGCAGGAAGTGACAGAGCTGGGCAGAATGAGGAAGTGATGTAGCTGGGCAGAGAGAGGAAGTGAGATGGCAGGGCACAGAAGGGATATAGGCGTGGGCATTCAGGAAGTAGCTCTCTCTGGAGGCTGAGGAGTTGGTGAGGTGAGGTTGGCTGTGGCGTGTCCTATTCCTCTGATCTCTCAGCTTTCACCCCAATACCTGGCTCTGGGTTTTTTTTTATTAATAAGAACTTTCAAGGTGTGTGTTACAAAAATTAAAGATAGTTTTATTTTTAATTATTTATATGTTTTTGTGTGTGCCTGCACATATATATGTGCATCATGTGCACACTAGTACTCATAGAGACCAGAAGATAGTATCAGATACCCTGGAATTGGAATCACAGGCAGTTGTGAACGAGCTGATGTAGATGCTGGGAATCAAACCCTGGTCCTGTGCAAGAATAGCCGGTGGTCTTTCCACACCACCTACCCCCAGGACCTGGCTCTTACGTTCTTTTCGTCCCCTTGTGGTGGTTTGAATAGGAATGTAATCACAGTACCAGAAAGATCAAGAGTTCAAGGCGAGGGCTGGAGAGGAAACTCAGCAGTTAAAGCATTTGTTGCTCTTGCAGAGGACCCCCCAGTTTGGTTCCCAGCACCCACAGCTAACAACCATCTGTAACTTCCAGAGGCTATGACAACCTCTCTGGCCTCCGTGGGCACTGCAGACATGTGGTGCACAGACATACATGCAAGCAGAGCACCCATACCCATTAAAAAAAAAAAAGTGAATCTTTAAAAATCAAAATAGAGTTCAAGGCCAGCCTCGACTATATATAGTAAGTTTGAGGCTAGCTCTCACGGTATGCGGTCTTGTCAGTAGGAGGGAACAAGGATGAGCGGGAAGAAAAGGAGGAGGAGGAGGAGTTGGCCATAAAAATGTCGCGACTTATCCAAAGTCACAAAGTCAGACCCCGACTGAGTCGAGCGCTCAGAAAAGCCCTGTCCTTGGTGCTGCTGAAACTTTTTGACCTCTTTTCTCCTAAACATCACAGTAACTAGCAGGGATTTGCTTCTTTCTGGAAGCTCCTGCACTGCCGCTCACCGAGTCTCTTTCTTGACACAGACTTTTGCAAAACCTTCCATTCATAAACTGCGCCGCTCTGTCTCCTGAACCATAAATGGATAGTAAACTCAGAAACGTTTTCTGTAACATAAAACAAAGCTTCTTCTGTGCCTTGAGGTTCAGATAAGCAAACTCCGGGCTCGGCCAGTTATGGTTTTAAAAAAAGGGACTCGTAGTAGGGCCAAGCATAATGGCTCAGAGGCGAGCGGATCTCCGTGAGTTCGAGGCTAGCTTGGTCTACAAAGAGAGTTCGAGGCCAGCTCGGTCTACACAGTGAGAACCTGCCTAAACAATAATTTTTAAAAAAGGGAAGGGAACGACGTCGGAATTCGTCTCCAGGATCTGGCCGACCTCCCAGCTAGGAGCTCAGTCTGTCCTCCTGGAGGACTGACAGGCTTTCTGCGGCGCCCCGCCGTGGCCCCACCCATCTACCCACTATGGCCCCGCCCCTCGCCGCCCTGCCGCGCGCTTGCGCAGCACCGCCAGCCGGGGCCCCGCCCCTCGCGGAGCGATCATTGGCCTCAGGGACAGGGTTTAGCTACAAGATGGCCGCCGCGCGCCCGGACCCCCCGATTCCGAGCTCACCGACCCGGGAGTCGCCATCCCCGGAGCCGTCGGACCTGGTGCGGGCGACGAAGGGGTCTGGGCCGGGTGTTCACGGCGAAGGAGGTCGCAGGACAGGGGGCGGGGCCTAGGGGGACTGGGCGGGGGTATGGTAACACTCCGGGGGCGGGGCTTAGGGGGGAGCCTATGGGGAATGAGGAGCGGGGCCTGGTGGAGGCGGGGCCTGGAGACAGGTTGTGTTGAGGGCAGGGTTAGGTCCTGCCAGAGGACCAGGGAGTTGATTTGCATAGAGAGGGGTGGAGTCTTAAGAGGGGCGGGCCGTCTGGGAAATTATAGGGCTAGTGGATGGTGGGGAAGGTGACCTCAAATGGGGGTTATAATCCGGTCACCATGTTGGGGTGGCATGTGACAATACAAGGACTGCCTTATGAATGCCCAAGGGAGGATTTTGGAGGAGAAATGGATGTGCCAGGTGACTTTGGAACCTCTAACTCGTGACTGGAGAGTAACTCAGAATATTCAACAAACACGTACTGAGTTTCAGGGGACCAAAACAGACAGAGGTTGCGTCCTCTTGCAGCTTGCTGTCTTGTGAGGAGGAGTGATAATAAGCATAATTCATTGTAATATCTTCTATAAGGGAAATAAAAAGTAAACTGATAGAGCGGGGGTGGGGCGAGCTAAATTTAGACGGCAGAAGTCAGCTGGGTGACGGCTTATATTTCCACGGCTGTCAGTGAGATAAGCGGGATCCAGATCGTGGTGGATATTATAGGGACGACACAGGGTTTTAAGTGCTGTGTGGAGTGGCAAAAGGCATGACCTCATTTACAGTTTGCAAAGTCCATTCGGGGTGCTCTAGCGAGGTGGGTAATGAGGGGCAGAAGAAGTAGGAACAGGGATTCCCTTGGAGTGGTGGTTTTCAGTTGTAAGGGCAAGAAACTATGAGGCTTTTAACTAGCATAGAGGAGAGGCACCTCTGTGTCTGTGGTATATTTTGGGCAGGAAAAGGAAATGCCAACTGGATACAGCAAGAATTCTGGATCATGGATAACAGGGTCAAGAAACCAATGGCCGGGTCTGGAGAGATGGCTTAGCAGTTAAAAGCACTAGCTGCTCTTTTAGAGGTTCAGTTCCCAGCATCCACATGGAGGCTCACAACCAACTTCACTTCTAGGGGATCTGGCCCTCACTTCGGCACTCCATAGGCATTGTACATGTGTAGTGAACGCAGGCACTTACACATACACATAAAAAGAAAAACTCAGGCCTGATGGTACATGCCTTTAGTCTCAGCACTTGGGAGGCAGAGGCAGGCAGATCTCTGTGAGTTCTAGACCAGCCTGGTTTACACAGCAAGTACCAGGCCAGTTAAGACTATATAGTGAAACTCTTGTCTCAAAATAAGTAAATAATAAATCATTTAAAAAACAAGGATCCAGTGGACTTCAGAGGATCAAATATTTTATTTAAAATTTTATTCATGTATTTGAGGGTAGAGTGTGCATGTGTGCCATAGCACAGACATGTGGAGGTCAGAGGGCAACTTGGGAGAGTCAGTTCTGTCTTTCTACCCTGCGGGTCTCAGGGATCCTACTCAGTTCGTTAGCTTTGGCAAGTGTCTACCCAGTGAGCCGTCTCCCCAGCCCGGGCAAGTGTTTTAGCAAGTGGAGGCATATTGAAGAATGCTCTCCCAGCAAGACCTCCACACAGCCTCCCGTTTCTTCTGCTCTCCAGGTCCTGGTGCCTGATGGTGGTTACTCTGCCACTCCCCCAAGTGACCTCATCGAGATCCAGGTGGTAAAAGTTACAGATACTACATCGGTACCTGAGCCCCCAGATCCGGGATCTTTTCACTGTGCCCTGTGTCCCGCGGCCTTCCACCTGGTCTCAGAGCTGCTGTTTCACGAACATGGCCACCTGGCAGGCGTGGAGGGGGTTGGGCAGGGTGGGGACCCAAGCCGTTGTCACGTGTGTGGCCACAGCTGTCCAGGTCCTGCTAGCCTGCGTGCCCACTACAGCTTGCATACGGGAGAGCGGCCTTACCGCTGCCCACTCTGCCCACGGGCGTTTAAGGCCTTGGCACCTCTGCTCCGGCACCAGCACCGACACGGGGTGGAGCCGGGCAACTCTCGGAGGCTTCCACCTACAGCATCAACTGGACAGCCAAACCCAAGGGTGGCACAGGAGAGGTCGGAGGTGGTGATGGCCGCAGCAGCTGCAGGGGCCGCGGTAGGCAAGCCTTTCGCCTGCAGGTTCTGTACCAAGCCCTTCCGCCGCTCCTCAGACATGCGAGACCACGAGCGTGTGCACACGGGGGAGCGTCCCTACCACTGCGGCATCTGTGGCAAGGGCTTCACACAGTCCTCTGTGCTGAGCGGTCACGCCCGTATCCACACTGGCGAGCGCCCCTTCCGCTGCACGCTCTGCGACCGCACTTTCAATAACTCCTCAAACTTTCGCAAACACCAGCGCACCCATTTCCACGGGCCAGGGCCTGGGGTGGGAGAGTCTGGAGGCCAACTGAGACCAACTTCGGTGGCCCAGGAATCAGGGAGTAAGCGTGGGACAGAGAACACTACCGAAGAAGGGCTCGGAGAGACTGTGAAGGTGAATGTGGAGGTTGACCAGTAGGCTGGGGAGTAGGAAGCATGTCATAGGGGAAGTGGATGGACTAATAGAGGCAAAAGCCAAGGAGAAATAATAAGCAGCTGGGATTGGAGAGCTGAGAAGCCAGCAGGTTCTGGTCTCCGAGAAACCCGCACTACACTTGAGACTCAGGAAAGAGGTACCTGCAATTCTATAGATGTCTAGCTACATGTGAAAATACAGAGACAGCTGAGCATGGCCCATTCCTGTAAGACCAGTATTCTGGATGCTGAGGCAGAAGGATTGTGAGGTCCAGACCAGCCCAGGCTGCAAAGCAAGACTTTATCCACCACCACCTCTGGTCCAATCCTGGACTACCTCTGGACCATGTAGGGGCTGCCCTAAGATGAACTAGTATGAAATATTTAGCCTACCTCAACTGGATTGCACTGGTCCTTGGATGTCTACCCTCCCTGGGCAGAAGATGCCCACCAGGCCATCTCTAAAGAAATACTGGGATGCCTTCTCCCTCAAAACCAGAGTACCTAAACCACAGTTGGGAATCCATAAATCTCTAGGATGTGAGCCTGCCCATAGAGATTAACTCTAAGCTCTGTTCACCTCTCCATCCTACCCCATAGTGGTCTCTCCTTAGCCTACCAGACTCTTCTGGAAGCAACTGAGAGCACACACTGCAAGCAAGCAATCACCTGGTACCCCTTTAAGCTTTAGGCGCAGAGCCTGTGGTCTCCCATGTCTACAAAGAAGTTTCCGATTTCTCTATTTTCCTCCGCTGTGAGGTAGATAGCTTCCTGCTTAGTCCTGGGCAATTCAGAGGAAGGGTTGGCTGATGACAACCTTGGTGTAGAGTAAGAGAAGACATTGATGTAAGGGGCTAAAAGGACTCCGGAGCTGGAGTTTGGGGTAGGATGGGGACTTCTAGTCTGTTCCTATTAAAAGACTTTCTGAAATGCTTCTCTGTCAGTCTTGTATTCCAGTTCTCTGGGTACCTTGCTCTGCCTCGGTTTTCTTCTATCTGGAATGGGGAGGGACTAGGCTTTGGCTGTGTGGCTGTGTTGTAAGAAGTTTTGTGCCATGAAGGAATGTTGGAGATTGTGCACTTACTCAGATGAGTCCTTCATTTTCTCATGGAGAAAATGTGTTGCTAGATCAGTCCTTGTTCATCCAGCATCCCCAAGAGATGACCTTCAGATGATGCATAATAAAACTCACCATTTCCTCTAAAGAAAGGAACTGCTTCCTGTCTCCCTGGCCCCTAGCTGAAGCTAGAAACATACACAGGTTCCTTAAGCCCACTTCGTCCCTAGCCTTATTTCTGATCAGTCTCCCATAATGAGCAGTTAAGCACTTCTTTTCTTCATCTGTTCTTGTAGAACCTGCCAACAGTGGCCTCATGTCTGGATGCCCACAGCAGTGTGTCAGGTCCTGCCTTCTTCCCTGTCTCACATGGAGTCTTGCCGCTAAAGAGAAACTCCCTGTTGCTTTCAGAAGGGACCACCAACACATCGGCACTGTGGATAAGTGGCCAGTTCAGGAAAAGGGGAAATATAGCAACTGATACTCAGGCTCAGTGTTCTGATTCAACAAGATGGGGGGGGGGGGGGCTGGGCGCTAATGAAGTTTGTATGCTCTATCAAAAGAGGGCAGTGGGGCTGGGGTGCAGTTCAGCTGCTAAACTGCTTGCCTAGCATGCAGGATATCCTGGGTTCAATCTCCAGCACCACAGAAACCAGGCGTAACAGCACATGCCCATCTTCCCAGCACTCCGGAAGTGGAAGCAGGCAGATCAGAAGTTTATAGTCACAGGGAAGAGTCTCATGAGGCCCTATTCCTCTCGGAGGAGCTATAGGCAGTTAATGGTTGTCTAGGGAAGGGGGGGTCATAGTCCTCAATGGTGTAGCTATTGGTAAGCTGCCCCTGCTTGGGTAAATAAGCCATCCAACTCATGTTTATGCAAGCAACCATGACTAAACACAATGGGTCACCAAGAGAATAAAAGACACGCAAGTAGAGGAGCCTGTTGGGAAGAAAGGGTTCATCAGGAGGTTGAGAGGGATGAGAGCATAGTGGCGGCTTTATAGGTACAACCAAAGTTGTGTGTGTGTGTGTGTGTGTGTGTGTGTGTGTGTGTGTGTGTGTACACACATACACATAGATGTATAAAATTGAGAACAAAAATAAAATATAAAGTTTGGGCCAAAGGGATGGCTCAGCAGTTAAGAGGACTAACTGCTCTTCCAGAGGATCAGGGTTTGAATCCCAGGACCCACATGGTAGCTCACAACCACCTGTGACTCTAGGGCCAGAGGCTCCAAAGGTCTCTGTTGGCCTCCATGGGCACCAGGCGGCCACAAACATACGTTCAGGCAGAATAACCATACACATATTTTTTTAAATAAAAATAAAAGGCTAAATACAAAAAGAAAGTTCAAGATTAGCCAGCGGTAGTGATGTACATTTTTTTTTTTTTTTTTTGGTTTTTTGAGACAGGATTTCTCTGTGTAGCTTTGTGCCTTTCCTGGAGCTCACTTGGTAGCCCAGGCTGGCCTCGAACTCACAGAGATTCGCCTGGCTCTGCCTCCCGAGTGCTGGGATTAAAGGCGTGCGCCACCACCGCCCGGCCGTGATGTACACTTTTAATGTCAGTACCAGGGAGGTAGAGGCAGGGGGATTTCTGTAAGTTCAAGGCCAGTCTGGTCTATGCAAAGAGTCTCAACCAAGGGTTACACAGACAGACCGTCTCAAAAAAAAAGAAAAAGAAAAAAATCAAGGCTAGTCTTACCTCAGCAGCAAGTCCATAGCCAGCCTAGAATACATGAGATCCTGTCTCCAGAAAGTCTGTAGACTGTGGTAAGTTCCACAGGTGTGCTCTCTCAGCCTACTGGAGTGTGAATGTCATGTCCAATCAATTCACGTTTCCCTAGTACCCAGGTCAGGACTTAGCAGACAGGAGGCTTCAGGTCACAGCGGTTGAGAGCATCGTGGAGGGGAGTCTTGAAATCTCAAGTCAGTTCCTGAGAGATCGACTTACCTGTCTCACTGCTCTCCACTTGCCCAGTTCATAGGCTAATGCCGGGGACATGGCAAATCCTCACTCAACCCAGGTGAAGAGACTGTGAGGTGGTGCGTGTCCATCTAGTCATCAGAATCCCCCAGGAACAGCAAGGACAGACCCCAGCGGCCCTGTTGATACGATTTATTGTTCTCTGCTCTGTACAAGCCGCGTCTTTCCCCCCACCCCCCAATCCAAGAGCACCCAGACCCCCACCTGTGCCCTCCCAACTCTGTTCACAGTCCACTGTCCAGCCAGATCCCAAAGGAAGTGGAGACGGTGAGTAGTTCAGACCCGTCTCCACCACAGAGTTCACTGGAGCCAAAATGCTGCTAGGTAGCCGATGAGGTTTACAAAAGAAGGCTGGACGGAGGATCAAGTTCAGTGTGTGACGGACGAGGAAGGAAGGGCCAGAATGGCCTGGGATTGGAGCGATTTAATCTTCAGTTTATAGGGCACGGGATCGGGAGGAAGCTAGACCATCTGTAGTTTTTTCGAATGGGTAACAGTGAGGAGGGTGGGGAGAGTCTGACCAGCAGTCCCAGAAGGGGAGAGTCCCGAAGGGAACGTCTGATTGTAGTGGCACACTGAAACCTCCCGGTCAGGGATCCTTCCCGGCCAAGGCGTTTCCCCCTGTTCCGGGTCCCCCAAGACCCTCAGCCTTGTGCACCAGGCGATGTTTTTTCAGACCGTAGGTGTTGGCGAAGCCCTCACCGCAGGAGGAGCAGCGGAAGGGCCTGCCGCCCTGATGGGCGGCCAAGTGCTTCCGGAAGTAGCCAGGATCCTTGAAGGCCTTGAGACAGGCGGGGCAGCGCAGCTCGGGCCGTGGGGGCTCGTGGGCACGCTGGTGGCGCAATACAGAGCTCAGGTAGAAGAAGCCCTTGCCGCAGTGCTCGCAACGGTAGGCGCGCTCGCCCAGGTGCAGCCGCTGATGCTCCAGCAGGTTGGAGCGGTAGCGGAAGGTCTTGCCGCAGGCGCCACAGCGCTGAGGCCGGGCCACGGCGTGCAGACGCCGGTGCTCGGCCAGGCTGGAGGACTGCGCGAAGCGCTTGGCGCACACTCCGCACTTGAAAGCGCGCTCGCCGGTGTGCACTACTCGGTGCTGCCGCAGGTACCAGGAACGCAGGAAGCCTCTGCCGCACACGCCGCACCGGTAGGGCCGCTGCTCTGTGTGACAGCGCTGGTGGCGCATCAGCAGGGCCGCCTCCCAGAAGCGCTTCCCGCACACCGGGCAGCGGAAGCCTCGCTTCTGCCGGTGGCTTCGGCGGTGCAGGAGCAGGTCGTACGCGCCCGCAAAGCTCTGGCCGCAGAGGCCGCAACCCAGGGTCCGGCGCACCAGGTGCACATACTTGTGAGTCACCAGGCCCAGGAAATGCTTGAAGCTTTGGCCGCACGTGGCACAGCTGAAGCGCTCGGCGCCTGACGTGGCCCCGCCACCCCCTCCGGTCACCGTCGTCCCACCCGAATCCTCGCTGCCCCCAGACACGCCGGCCAGCGCTGCCACAGCCGCCCCCACCTCTCCGGCCAGTCCGTTGTCCAGCACGCTGGATGCGTCGGTGCCGCCGCTGGAGCCATCGGCGGACTGAGGGCCACTGGGTGTTGGCGGGAGAAGACGCTCCGGGGCAGCCTGGTGGACCAGCTTGTGCCACATGAGGTTCTCGATGAAGCCGAAGGTCTTGCCGCAGGCGTCACAGCCGTATGGCTTCTCGGACATGTGGGCTTCCTTGTGGCTCATGACATGAAAGAGATCCGGGAAATGCTCCCCACAGTCTGAGCAGGCGTAGCTCAGGCCGTCGGCGGGCCCACCTGAAGTGCCCGCAGCCCCGGGTCCACAGGCCCCCGTGGCCCCCTGGCCCGTGGCGAGGCCCGTGGCTCCGGCCAGGGCGCAGGGCAGCTGGAGCCGGTGCACTTGGCGATGGCGCGTGAGGCTCTGCGGGTAGCCGAAGACCTTGCCGCACAGCTCGCACTTGTAGGGCCGCTCCCGGGTGTGCACCACGTGGTGCTTGCTCAAGTGGAAGGATTCACGGAAGCGCTTCCCGCACACTGGGCACTGGTGGGGCTTCTCCCCGGTGTGGATGCGCTCGTGGCGCTTCAGGGTCTCGCGGCGTCCGAACGCCCGCCCGCAGATGCCGCAGCAGAACGTCTTGCCTGGGACGCCTGTGCCCGCGCCGCCAGGCCCACCGTTCCCGGCACCCCCGAGCAGCAGCGGATGCGCGCTGAGAAGTGGGACAGGCACCGCACCATACACCACAGCCGCTGCAGCAGCCGTGGCTTTCTCGTCGGTGGTGGTTGGGTCCGCGGGCAGGAGGTAGGGGCCCGGGGGGAAGGTGGGGGGCGGCTGCGGGACTGCGGCCGCCCCGTCCTTGGCCGGCTCGGTGGCCACAGGCGGCGCGTGGGCAGCCTTGTGCCGCAGCAGGCTCTGCGGGGCCGAGTAGGTCTTCCCGCACAGGTCGCACGGGTACACCGGCCGCGGGGCCCCCGCCCCTGCATGGGCCGCCTGGTGCTTGAGGAGGTAGGAGGCATCGCGGAAGGCCTTGCCGCAGATGCCACAGGGCAGGCGCAGCAGGTCGGCCGAGTGCGTTTTCACGTGCCGCTTGAGGCTCTCCCTCCGGTTGAAGCTTTTGCTGCACACAGAGCAGGAGAAGGGCTTCTCACCCGTGTGGATGATCTGGTGCTGGTGGAGGTGGCTGGGCTTCTTGAAGACCTTCCAGCAGAGGGGGCAGGCAAATGGGCCCTCCCCGCCAGTAGTGGTGGGGGGAGGAGGCATGGCCACCCCGGGTGGGGCGGCCGGGGTGGCATTCCCATCCGTGGAGGTGGCAGGCGCTGCAGGTGTGGCTGAGGGGCCCGAGGACACTGCGGCAGGGGCAGAGGCGGCTGTGGCACTGGCTGTGGGTACCGGTAGGCCCAGAGA